CTCTGATGTGCAGCATCCCAGAGTGGGAGGGAGGTGCCGGTGTGGAGCTCAAAATGCCAGTGGGAGTGCAGAAGATATGCACCAGCTGAGCGTGCCCGAACAGGCGAGCCTCGGCAGGGCTGGGTGAGGGGGAACGGGGCACTGCCTCTGCCCTGACAACAGAGCCTGCGAGGAGCCGTGGGCCCTATTTGCTACACACTCCTGTTATGTCAGCGGCAATTTTGGTCAGACATTAACATAGATTTGGACATCAAGGACCAAATCCGTTGACCGTGAGATTTGTATCAACTCTTCCAAATAGAGCCGCATTAAGTAGTGCTATTTTGTGCGGTTTACGCTAGACATTTCATTTTGTTGCTCTGATTCAGGATACTGTCTCAGCTACACTTCTGAGATGCAGGCTTCTGCCTTTTCCCATTCACCTGATCACAGGTAAACAAATGTATGTCTAATGAAGTTTCTAAAGTAATTTTCAGGTAGACACTTTGCACAAATAATAAATCTGGTAGTACCAGATTTTATTCTGAGTCATGGACTATCTAAGATGGCAACATTTGAGTCCCACAGATTCATTTGTATGGTTCAGTAGAGTATTTTACATATCTTATAAGCTTTCTGCTTCAGTAGCTTCTCTAAAAGAGTCACTAAAATGAAAGTGTTGTTACAACCATGCAATCAAGCACTGCAGTGTCATAAAACATTGTCAGAGAATGATGGAAAGACTAGTCTTACTAGTCTAGAAGATGATTATACTGCTGATAGAGTCCACTTGGAAGAGACACAAACGTATCAGCAATGCTTGTGATGGCGTATGCCGTGTGCATTTGATCCCTTCTTTACAATTTCTTGTTTTCACCCATCATACAATTACTTCAGGTTTATCTCAGTGATCTAACAAATTGTGATGCTGGAAACTAAAAGCATTTTATTTCTTACACTGCTGTGGTAGGTGCTATGCAGGGATCAGCATAGGTACCTGGAGAAAGGGATTACGCCTATGGCAGAATTTGATCGCACTGTGGGTCCATTTATGTTTTGTGTGTAAGTGGAACTGGGGGCACTTTGTCATGTATGTACAAGGGATATATTTCCCTCCTCAGTCATTTCATTACTTAAACCTGCCTTAAAAATGGAGGAATCTTCCAACTAGATCACAATCTTTTTTGGGAGAATCCCAGTAGATCACACCATTCAGAAGACTGCAAATAAAGGAACTCTGATTCAAGGAGGATAAAGGGGTTTTGTTCCAGATGAGAGATTTCATTATCTCTCATCGCTGAACACCAAAATCCTTGTATGAGACAACTGAGACTTGCTATGGTGTAGTAATTCTAAGTTAAGATGTGCAGAACTGGAGTTATTCGGCAATTTGAGAAGAACGAGCAGATACTGAAGCCTTGCTGAACAGCTGATTTAATTCAGCAAGTACTGATCAGACACAGTCAATCTGTCAGTGGGTCAGCCAGCCTTGACAGCTGTTAAGTTTACCAAGACGACATGCAATAAGAGAGCAAGCACATGCTCATTTTTCAAATAATTAAGAATGCCCTTCCATCACAAGAGTTTTATAAGAGAATCTCCAAACAGAAACTTAATGTTTTCAGACATCAGGAAAACAGAAAGCAGTTGCATTCAGGAAAGGAAAGTTGTAACTCAAATCAGATAGGGACATGGATGTGCTAGCTGTGCAAATCTCTGCTTTCTGCAGCGTTAGACAAGTGCTGACATAGGCCAAGTAGTCCCTATCCCGTAGCAGTATTAGCTGGATCATGAGGAGAAAGAAACAAAGCGGAAGCCGGGTGTTGTCTTTCAAGTGAAGATGTTTGACTTTTACAGGAGGCGTTCATAGCATCTCCTCCATGGAGAGGCAGCAGAGGTTCCAGAACCAGCGTTCATTCCCAGAACATCACTGCAACTTAAAAGATCCAGCGCTGGAAACAAATCCAACGTTTGTGCAGCAGCTACGAGTCTCAGTTTACCCACTGTGCCTTCTCGCTGTTGTACAGTCACTGCGGGAATCAAGCACACGCTCGTGCTGTTCAAGAGGATGGTCACAGGTCCCCATCGGCCGCTCTGACACCCGCGCGCTAGCGGGCTGCCGCGGGAGCCAGTGCGCTTGCCTGGCATGGCATTTCACCCGTTGGCGCTTTTGGAGGGCAAGGGAAGCTGCAGCCCAAACGCTTGCACTATTAGACTGAGGCTGGAAAAGAACAGGAGCCACTGCTGTTTTCTCACAGCAACTGAAATGTCATCTTTATGTGCCACTAAGCATGAAAAACCGATACTAAAAAATATCACAAGCTTCTCTGTGCCAAAAACCACAGAACTAACTTTATCCAGCTTCCACCATGCTATTCCAATGTGTACCGTGTATCAAATATCAAGCACAGATCTGCAGATGATCCTCGCAGTACATGTTCAAGCTGACAAACTGTAATGGGATGTAGATATGAAAGGGTCACAGACATCACGGGTGAGTGGAGTTAAAGCTGTTACAGAAGTTATGAAATGGGCCTGCAGCTAGTCCCGGCAATGGAATGAGCGTGTGTGCATTAGCAATGGCCCTGCACAGCTGCTTAATCTGAAACCTTTACCAAGCAGAAGATGGCTGGATAAAAAGAAGAGTGTATTTGATCTTTTCAGGGATGTTCTGAAGGAGAAAAATTAGGATGTTTAAAAAAATTTAGCTGCCCCTGGAATGTCTAGCACATAACTAATGAAAGACACTCAGCTGCTTACAGTAACTAAAACAAATAGGTAGAAATGAATAGGTAGAATTTTCATTCCTTACCAGTAACAAGATTTTGCTTTTGACCAATAATGATGTAAACCTTAAGGGTTACTACACACAAATAGATTCATCATAAGACTGGGAGTTATCACGGAGAGTATAATTATGATTATTAAATCCCCTGGGCAGAGCAAAGGGTGTAATAGATAAACAAGACAAATGCAGGATCTGAACAGCGTTACTCAAGTTTGTCCCCGACACCGAAAAAAGAGCTGAAGTGTCTGGCCTTGACTGGGTGATTTTTGCCACTTTTTTAATCACAGCACCCTATACCCCATTTATCTTAATGCTTGTAGGCTGTTACAGCTCTTGAATGAAATTTTGACATATATAGAAGAGATCCAGTTCTTTTTGAGATAAATGTTACGTTTGCCTTCATGTGTTTGCCATTAAAACATGTTAGATCTTGGTCTGTTTCTAAGGCAAATGGCAAATTTTCTAGAAAGTGCAGGAATACTGTCTTATGCAAAGCATACTAATAGGGTATACATTTCTGTAAAGGTTTGTCAGAAAGAAGCTAATACACCTTTATTCTCACTGTAAACATGACCCAAACCATTTCATTTTAGCTTTACGAGCTTCTAACTGTTAAGTTTTCTTACTGGATCATGTTTCTAAATGTTGTCCTTCTTGTCTTTACCTGGCTGATATGGAGGAAGAAAATGGCTGGCTGTTTTCTTCCCTCTCCTTCAGTTTTACTGTTAAGACCTATCATTTCAGTAATTCACACCAGAATACCATTCTTTGCTCAAAAGAAAAAAAAAAAATATGTTTTGTACTTTAGATGGGTCGTTTATTTTAGAAATATAAGAACATAATTGGTTAGAAAGTTTTCTGTAGATCAAATCGACCCTTATTGAAAGGTATAAAGAAAACATTGATGCTTCTGTATATGTTGCAGTCAGTCATCCTGGTACAGAAATAAAGAATGGATGCTGCTACGGACAAATTACTGCATCTGAGAATCATTTAAAAAAAAAAAAAAAAAAGATTCCAATCCCAGGAAAGTCACTTGCAGAGAAGTTTATCAGGGATTTCCTAGTTCAGTGCATTGATTTTTAGACTATTGATTAGGCAAGAGTTAAAATAGCAGGTCTGAACATGGTAGGAAGAATAGCTTGTGCATGGCTTTTCTCCCAGTTGTAAAAGTTTTCACAAACATTACTTTGTTACAAACATTGCCTTTATGTATTTTCAGATATGACACCAAAAAGGTGATGAATCTGAAGCCTGATGTTTTGTTAGATCTCGTTTACTTAATTCCGTATTAATTTTATTCAATCTAAAGCATGTTTATTGCTATATAATATCAGTTATTTAATAACAAGACAGCATAGCTGTAATTTTTGTGACCATAGTGAAGAGCTGCACTACACTTCACATTAAAAAAATAGTGCATTTTTATGTTTGGGGTTTTTTTGTTTTTAACTGGAGTGTATGCAGTGTTTCCTCAGACTACATGCACAGTTACCTTGGTTTAGGGGGATCTGATACGCAACACACCTTGGGAATCTTTTAATGCTAGCAGGCTCAGCAAGTAGTCCATGCAGCTTTTCTCCATGATAAGAACAGCTGTGGGAAGGCTGAAGAGTATAAAGAGGAAAAAGAAAAAACTATCTGCACTTCAAAGATTCCCTTCAGATGAAGCAGATAGAAAATCCACATAGATTATTGCAGAAGCTGTAGGTGAAATTAAAAGTTGCCATCTCCAATATATGCATTTGCCTGAAGTATTCTTTATGTTTACATATTCTAGGGCAGACACAGCTGAAAAGATATATATTGCTTTTTTCCTTTAGTCTGAAAGTGTTGGGATTTTAAACTTGGGGTCTGTTAATACTGAGATCACATTTACAGTCCAAAGTATTATGTGTCCAGCATGTAGCAACCTTGATTATATTCCGGTCAGGATGTGGGAAAGATGCTATTAGAAACAAAACAATCAATTCACTTAGACAGTCCCACAAACATGCTTTATGGCATCTGCCTCCTACTCATTTTAAGTGAGGTTTTATAGTGACACATTGGTGAAGATTAGTACACAACTGCAGGCAGATGCCCATGGCTGATTCAATTGTTTGCACTGACACTCACAATTGCCATAATTGCAGCTGAAGTGATACAACCCGTTGCAAAAAAACAGACAAAGTGAAACCAACATTGTTCCTCAGAGATTTTATTAGTTGAAACCCAGAAGTACACAATCCACTGTTATTTCTTGGTATGAATTCGCCACAGCGTTTCTGTTTGCTATGCCTGCAATACTGTCCTCATTCATTTAACATAAGAAGATTCAAAAGGCCTCTTTAAAAACAGAGCTTGTATAGTAAAGGCAATACATTCCAGCCTCACTGGTTATAAAAAATTCTTTAAAAAAAAAAGTGACTGAAAGATAAAGCAGCAAATCATCTTTAGAAAATCAGTAAGAGCTTAATGTGATCCTAAGTAAAGAATATGTCTAAGCTCTCGCTTTTCTGTATGCTCCAAGCGCAGCTACCATTGTTCCTTCCCTCTTCTCCTCCCATAACTGCTTAACACTATTAACGTTCAAAGCTGGTATTTCTGAAGAGGAGCGACCATCTTCTACTGCCCCTGGAGAAAGAGAAAATGGATGTTTAGAACTAGGCAGCATCCAAACCCTTCCTGAGAAGAGATCACCTCGGGTCCTGCTGAGCAAGTTCTCATGCGGTACTGAAGACCTCCTTCAGACTGCCTATACTACTGGTGGCTCAGTCCCAAGGAATTAAGAGATGATCCACGTATGACTTGAGGATTTAACACATTCACTCCCCACTTACAAAAGAAAAGTGACTTTTGCCGACATGTTTCATTGAAAATGGAAATCTCTTTTCAAAATAACCCATATTCTGAAGGTATTTTTAGTGTCTTCATCCTGGAACACTGGAAAACTTCCATTTGAATGCTCGAGGCTCTGATTTTATCTAATCCTTCTACATGAGCTAAAACCAAAGAAAACCCCAAAACTCTACAGGAAAGCAAAAATATCCTGATTCCGTCCTATGTTCATTTAGACCAGTACAAAGGGATGAAAATATGTGATTGTTCCAGCTGCAATTCTCCACTTATATACACATGACTTCACTCACATTGATTAAATGGGACACACAGGTGGCAACGTAGCCACAGATCCAACAAAACCTTTTAACTAAATTTTGTGTTAATTTTTTTAAATAAAGGAGATCATCTCCTCCCAATATTTAAATTAGGATTAGACTTGCCGATATACTGGAGAAGAGAGATCTAAATCAACAACGTGTTGCATCAGAAAGGAGTTCCGAGAAAGGAGAGGCAAGTGTTTTAAGTGTCTCCAGTTACAGCACAGCACTGGAGAAGGTCAAACGCCCAGAGAAGTTTCCTGTAGAGAGACTTGTCAGGTCTGGTGCTTTGAACACGAGGCTCGCACCCGCCTCACGTGCACACAGCCAGGGAAACACAGCTGGTGTGTCAGCAGCACAAAAGGGATCCATGCTGGGAGCCCATGCCAGGGACAACCAGGCAGCTACATCTAAGGTCTGAGGAAGAGAGCGGCCATGGCACTGCCCTGCCCCACGCCCGGAGGGGGAGCAAGCCCTCGGCAGAGCTCTCTGCTGAACGGGAGCCTTCTGCAGCCTATGCAGGTAGTACAGCTAACTCCTGCCCATTAGCAATCTGCCCCACGTTTCCCGTGGTGGTTGACTGTGTCACGCTAGAAGGTGGGCTGGTGTAAGGTGAAAGGAGGCTGTAGTGAGGTGGGGGTCGGCCTCTTCTCCCTGGTAACAGATGATAGGACGAGGGGGAATGGTTTGAAGCTGCACCAGGGCAGGTTTAGGTTAGATATTAGGAAAAAATTCTTTACTGAAAGGGTTGTCAGGCTCTGGAATGGGCTGCCCAGGGAGGTGGTAGAGTCCCCATCCTTGGAGGTATTTAAAAGAAGGTTAGATGAGGTGCTTAGGGACATGGTTTAGTGGTCGGGTGGCAGGGTTAGGTTAAAGGTTGGACTCTATGATCTTAAAGGTCTTTTCCAACCAAAGCGATTCTATGATTCTATGATTCTATGATTCTAAGGTGCTCCGTTAAAAGCCAGAGGGAGAGCAGACGTGGAGCTGCTGTAGGTACCACAGTAGCACCCCCGGAGTGGGAGGCTGTGCAGCCAAACGGGGAAGGGTATGCTCCTGTGCTGTGGGCACAGCACCCTGGCAACCCGGCCTGGCAAGGTGCCCCATAAAAGGCATTTCCTCTCTAACGCAGACAAGACAGAGGAGCAATTTATTGCAACAGGCCAACGGAACAAGGCACTGCTGCCCTCCGTGGTTTTATTTTGGTAGCATTTGGACTCCCAACCAAGTTCAGAACCATGCTGTGGAACGCACCATAAAAAGCACTTCCAGGCTCAGGCAGAAAGAGGAATAAACATTAGCCCCACCCTACAAAGAAGGATTGAAGTACTGAGTTGTGTCAGAGACTAAGGTGGGGACAGCAGCTGAACCCAGATGCCCTAGTGTGAGCTAGGGCTTAAATAACAAAATCCCCCTTCATACATTTATGTGCTGATCCATAAATTTCAGAAATCTAGCACTTGAAAAAGAGATCTCACCTCCTTTGCCACTTGTTGTCTAAAGAAGTCAAGAACCTCCTTTTGCCCTGTAGCTTCTGCCTGTAAGTAGAAACACGAATAAATTCTGCCATCCTGTGCACCAGGACATGCAAATACTTACTTGTGGGAAGTAAGAATATGTTACCACAAAATAATTAAAATCCAATTTAAATGCTAATTCCTCTTACATAGATGAGAAAATTCTGGCTCCAACAATTTATTACTTCGGAACAGCACCAGACTCGAGTTTGTAACAAACTCTACTCCGGTTTATAGTCCCCAAAGCAGCATTTACTCTTCCGAAACTAATATTATCCGTCAGCGCGCATTATTACTCACACAGCTAGCACGCCATACGGAGTACAGCCGTATGCACACTCACTATTTGTAGGG